TTCAAAGTTGCCTTCCTTATAAGGTTAAAACAGAGGGGACTTTCTTATCATGCTGGCTTAAACTGGCCTGTTTGGGGTATTGACTAATTCTCTCCTGATTTCTTAGAAGGTTCAGATAAGCAACTTAGTTTCAGCCTGCACGAGTGACTCTATTTTGGTTTGGTCTGTGGGTTCCTAGCATAGGGGCTCAGTCCAAATAAATTTTATTTAACATGTTTCCTGAAAGTTCACTAAACCTATTGCTGTTTCATAGTTTTATGTGATTTTGATGGAATTTGATTGTGAAACTAAGATGTCAGTTTTCAAAAACTAGAAGAGAGGATGTTGGATTTTCACAACACAAAGACATAATGAATGTTTGAGGTGATGGATATGCTAATTACTCTCATTTGATCGTAACCAATATATACACATATCAAAATCGTTACTGTATTCCATAAATATATATAATAATTATGTCAACTAAAAATAAAAGGAAAAAAGTTTCAAATTTCAATTAAAGACTCTAGCTGGGCACGGTGGTTCATGCCTGTCATTCCAGCACTTTGGGAGGCAGAGGCGAGAGCATTGCCTGAGCCCAGGGGTTTGAGACCAGCCTGGGCAACTTGGTGAGATCTCTTCTCTACAATAAATCAAAAAATAGCTGGGCATGATGGTGCTGTGGTTCCAGCTACTTAGAAAGCTGAGGCGGAAGGATTACCTGAGCCCGGGCAAGTTGAGGCTGCATTGGCCATAAGCGTGCCGCTGCACTCCAGCCTGGACAACAGGGTGAGACTCCTACTCAAAAAATAAAAAAAGAATCTCACTGAAATGTTTCTATCAAGTATTATCCTTGAGAATAAAACAACTTATAATTTTCTTTAAAAAGATCAATTTTTAACAACTTTTTATTTTTTTTGCTAATTAAAAGCTCTTTCAGACTTTAAGATTGGTGTCAAAAAAGGGGGGAAAAGTATACTTGCATTGTTGACCCCACTATAGATTTGGTCATGATGTGATTTAATTTAAATTGATTATAGAGCTTGAAAAACAGAATTACTGGTTTCCTGGTGGTACTGTAATTCGGAGGATTTGGTAGAGTCCATCTGATTGTTGTCTGCTGTGTATCTTGATATGTAGTCTCTCTCTCTCTCTTTTTTTTTTTTTTTTGAGTTGGGGTCTCACTCAGAACCCAGGCTGGAATGCAGTGGTACAATCACAACTACCGCAGCCTCAACCTTGGGATCAGGTGATCCTTCTGCCTCAGCCTCCCAAGTAGTTGGGGCTAGAGGCACACGCTACCACACCTAGCTAATTTTTTAAATTTGTTGTGGAGACAAGGTCTGGCTATGTTGCCCAGACTGGTTTTGAACTCCTGGGCTCAGGTAATCCTCTTGCCTTGGCCTCCCAAAGTTTTGGGATTACAGGGATAAGCCACTGTGCCTGGCACTCACGTAATCTTTAAAGACAGAAAAATGCCGGGCTCAGTGGCTCAGCCTGTAATCCCGCGCTTTGGGAGGCTGAGGTGAGTGAATTGCCTGAGGCCGCGGGTTCGAGACCTACCTGGGCAACTTGGCAAGACCTCATCTCTACAATGAAATACAAAATTAGCCGGGCCTGGTAGCGCGCGCCTGTAGTTCCAGCTACTTGGAAGGCTGAGGCGGAAGGATCTCCGGAGCCTAGCAGGTCGAGGCTGCGGTGGCCGGGAGCGTGCCACTGCACTCCAGTCTGGGCGACAGAGTGAGACTCCAACTCAAAAAAATAAAAAATAAAAAAAAATAAAGACAGAAAAAATAGGAACAGGAACCCATGATTCTTTATATTATTCTTTACTGAAACAAACAAAACAAAGCTTTTCACGTGTAAAAGCTATTGATAAGTCTGGATATTGTTATGTGCACCTGACGAGATGATCATCCAGGTCCTTGAATTGAGTAGATGAGATATTTATGCATAGCTAATAAAATCACATATATACACATATTTTTGTGTCTTTTAAATGAAGAAATTGGGTGTAATTTTCCTAGGATTGCACAGTTCCTAAAGAGTTCCCTGTCTTGGCTAGGCTCAGTGGCTCAACCTGTAATCCCAGCACTTGGGGAGGCCGAGGCGAGTGGATTGCCTGAGCCCGCAGGTTCGAGACCAGCCCAGTCAACTTGATGAGACCTCATCTCTTCAATAAATCAAAAATTAGCTGGGCGTGGTAGCACACACCTATAGTTCCTGCCACTTGGAAGGCTGAGGTGGAAGGATCACCTGAGCCCAGCTGGTCGATGTTGGGGTGGTCGTGAGTGTGCTATTGCACTCCAGCCTGGGCAACAGAGTGAGACTCCAGCTCAAAAAAAAAAGAGTTCCCTGTCTCAAGATCTGACTCAGAACTGGTACTTTTTTCTATTTGCTTCAACCAAAATGTTCTTAATTTCTATGTGCCAAATACTATGTGAGACATTACAAATAGGAAGATGAATAAGACATGACTGTCAGCCTGAAGAAAGTTATAGTATAGCAGAAGAAATAATTTTAATATAGTGATACGTTTTCTGATTGAGCTGGTACACTGTCTTGTGCCAATGTTGAGGGAATGCTTTTAGCTTAGTCCAAGGGCTTAAGAGAGTTCCCAGTGCTTGAGAGATAAATGAGCCAGGCCCTGTGGATCACGCCTGTAATCCTAGCACTTTGGGAACCTGAGCCCAGGGGTTCCAGACCAGCCTGGACAACTTGGCAAGACCCTGTCTCTACAATAAATAAATAAATAAATAAATAAAATTAGCTGGGCATGGTGGCACATGCCTGTAGTTCCAACTACTTGGAAGACTGAAGAGGAAGGATCACCTGAGCTCAGCAGGTCAAAGCTGTGGTGGCCATGAGCATGCGTGCTCTTCAGCTTGGGCAACAGAGTGAGACTCCAACTCAAAAAAAGAAAAATAGAAAAAGATAAATGAGTAGAGTACCTTACAAAAGTGGTGCATTCTTGGCCGGGCGCGATTGCTCATGCCTGTAATCCTAGCACTTTGGGAGGCTGAGACAGGATGACTTAAGACCAAGAGTTTGAGACCAGCTTGGGCAACATAGTGAGACCCTGTCTCTACAAAAATTTTTTAAAAAATTAGCCAGGTAGGCCAGGCATAGTGGCTCACACCTATAATCCCTGCACTTTGGGAGACTGACGTGAGAGGATTGCCTGAGCCCATGGGTTCGAACCAGCCCAGGCAACTCGGCGGGACTTCATCTGTACAATAAATGAAAAAATTAGCCGAATGTGGGGACACACGCCTGTAGTTCTGGCTATTTGGAAGCCTGAGGCAGAAGGATCACTGGAGCCCAGCAGGTCCATGCTGGGGTGGCTGTGAGCATGCCACTGCACTCCAACCTGGGCGACATAGACTCCAACTCAAAAAATAAAAAGAAATAGTGGGCCACATTTCCATTGTACAGGACTGTTGTCTAGAGAGAGAGAGATGGAGAGAGAGAGAGGGAAAGGGAGAAGGAATGGAAAGGGGAGGAAGAGGGAAAGGAAGAGAAAAGAAATGAGATACATACAAGAGAGTGATGATAGAAAGATGAGAGAGACTTGTTTCTGCCAGGCCCTCTAGAAAGAATAAGTTTATCAGGGCTGTTCTAAAGGGCTTCTTGGACCAGATCCCTTTAAGAAGAAAATCAAGTGTTACGGGGAGGCCCTTGGAAAATTTTAAACTGCCTCTGTAAACTTTGACTTTGGAGGATAACTCTTGACAGCTCCCTCTCTGGGCGTATCCCAACTGCTACTTCTGACCTCAGCTCTGCTGATCCTTCTGCCTTTTCTTTAACACTGTTGGTCAGCCCCATGTTTATCTGCTCCTCTGTGTCCTGACTGAGTTCTACTCCCAATGTTCCCTGTTCTGCTTGCCTGGTTTGTTTCTAGCCACCTGACCTGTCATGGCCTCAGATTCCAGGCTCTGTCCTGCTGACCTGGACAGTGTATGCCCAGCCTTCTGGCTGACAGACACAGCCAGCCTGTCTACCAGCACCATCCTGACGTGGCTGTCTCTGCCCTGCAGCTAGTCCTGGACCAGGTCATTGGATTGCTTGACAGTGGTGACTTCACCCTTTCCACAACACATGGGTAGGTGAGGCATACCAACATCTCATGGGGAGAGGCAAAGCCAAGACTAGAAAGAGAAGGAAAAGAAGAGAGACCTTTTAGGGAAGGTCTGGCAGTAGGAGACTAGGAATCTCTCATTTTAAAGAAAGCCCTCAGATTACTTCATTCCGTAAATATTTGAGTGCCTTCTGTGTGTCAGGCACTGTGCTGGGTCATAGGGCTATGAGATGAACAAGGAAGATACTTGGGATTCCAGAAAACTATTAGGCCGGGCACAGTGACTCAAACCTGTAATCTCAGCACTTTGGAAGGCCGAGGAGAGAGGATTGCCTGAGCCCAGAGTTTCGAGACCAGCCTGGGCAACTTGGTGAGACCGCATCTCTACAATAAATTAAAAAATAAGCCGGGTGTGGTAGCACATGCCTGTAGTTCCAGCTACTTGAAAGACTGAGGCAGAGCCGGGATCAGTGGCTCAGCCTGTAATCCCACACCTTGGGAGGCTGAGGTGAGTGGATTGCCTGAGCCCACGCGGGTTCGAGACCCACCTGGCCAGCTTGGCGAAACCTCATCTCTACAATAAATAAAAAAAAACTAGCTGGACGTGGTAGCGCACGCCTGTAGTTCCAGCTACTTGGAAGGCGGAGGTGGAAGGATCGTCAGAGCCCAGCAGGTCGAAGCTGCGGTGGCCAGGAGCATGCCACTGCACTCCAATCTGGGCAACAGAGTGAGACTCCAACTCAAAAAAAAAAAAAAAAAGTATCAGAAATGGTGAGGGATAAATAAATGGAAAAACCTATTGCAAGAAGGGCCTGGCAAAATTAACTTCTCTAAAGGGGAAAATTGTTTCCTGATTATAAGTTGTTCTTATATAGCTAGTATTATTTCTGTCATCTGTTAGGCACATAATGTATATAATATATTTATCATAATTTTGCCCCAGGGTCTAATGGCTATTGATTGTCCATATACTGGCATTGTGGACTATCACCAGGTGGCTCTGTCATTTGCCCAAGATTTCCAAGAAGCAGGTGGCTCTGTCTTGACCAATTTTGAAGTAAATGATATTGAAATGGCTAAAGAAAGCCCTTCAAGAAGTAAAGATGGTAAGTTTTTGTCTTTTCTATTGAATACAGTTGGCCCTCAGGTTCCACATCTGTGGGTTCAACCAACCAAAAATGGAAACTATTTGGAAAAATTAAAAAGAACAAATAACAGTACAACAATAAATAAAGCAAGTTAAAAAAAACAGTATAATAGAGATTTACATAGCATTGACATTGACTAGGTATTATAAGTAAGTTAAGGATAGCTGAAAGTACCCAGAGGATGGATGTACATATGTTACGTGCAAATACTATGCCATTTTACCTAAGGCATTTTACATCTGCATCTGAAGATTTGGGTATCCGTGGGGTTCCTGGAACCAATCCTTGGATACCAAGGGACAGCTGTACTTGTATTGACTGTTTTAAAAACGTGGGATTATTTTTGTCTGGGTTAGTACTGGTGGGAGGAACGCTGGGAGCTAGGCTAGAGTGGAGTACAGAGTCAGAGGCAGGTGCAGAAGGGACAAGGGTGAGACTGGCTGTGAGAGAACCAGGACTCCTGGAGGGTCTTGTGCTGATAGAACTAGGCACTGATCAGACACTTCTGACTGGTGCTAAAATCTGAACTGCCAAACCTGATCATGGAAACTTAGTCCCCAAACACGTTACTACCCTGCAGGTTAGAGTCAGAATCCCTTGCAATGCTTGTTTAAAATGCAAATGTTAGCCGGGCTCGGTGACTCAGCCTGTAATCCCATGCCTTTGGGAGGCTGAGGTGAATGGACTGCCTGAGCCCGTGGGTTCAAGACCCGCCTGGGCAGTGAGACCTCATCTCTACAATAAATCAAAAAATCAGCCGGGCGTGGTAGCGCATGCCTGTAATTCCGGCTACTCAGAAGGCTGAGGCGGAAGGATCACTGGAGCCCAGCAGGTCGAGGCTGCGGTGGCCGGGAGCGGCCACTGCACTCCAGTCTGGGCGACAGAGTGAGACTCCAACTCAAAAAATAAATAAAAAATAAAATGCAAATGTTAGCATCACCCAGACTTACTGAATCAAACTGCCTAGAAATAGGGCCTAGGAATAAGAAGCCTTTCGTGATTCTTAGACACATCCAAGTTTCAGAATGACAGCCCAAGGTGATAAAATGACCCAGCCATTCTGAACTGTCTCCTTCCCCTCCATTTAAGACTGCATTTAGAGGTTTGTTTGTTTTGCTTTGTGGATATTATTGTTTTGTTAACCAGATTAAAGATTTCTAAGGCTTCTATTTGCTGTTGGAAAATTTGAAGGACAATTGTAGTGGTCTGCTTTTTCTTCCTTCACAGGTTTTTAAAGAGTTCTAGGCCATCTGAGTCATTCTGTCAGTGTCTTTCTGAATTCTAAGATAGGAACAAAATTGTTAAATAATTAAGGTTATTATGGGTAGGTAACAAAATAAATCAAACTTGTGATACAGGTAGATTATGTTCTTCATTTGCTGTACATGTGCTTTATAAGACTTTGAGATCCCATGTATCTGAGTGAGAACTGATTTTATAAATGGTCGCTTTATTATAGGAAATATTTGTTTAATGATAATTTTTATTCCTCTCACCAACCTAGAACCTGCAAGGAATTAGGTAACCAACACTTGGAAGACAAGATCTCTTAAATCATAGCACTTTGAGAGGCGGAAGCGGGAGGATCACTTGAGCCCAGGAGTTTGAGACCAGCCCTGGGCAACATAGTGAGATCTTGTCTCTAGTTGAAAAAACAAACAAACAAACAAACAAAAACATAGCTGTAGTCCTGTAGGAAGATACATACTGATTTATAATGATCCATATGCAGCATAATTTCCAGATTATAGTTCAGAGAAAAACTGGGACTATTTGTGTTGGAGCTGATGTGGGGAATGTTTTCTAAACCTAGATTAGATGGGTTAAAATAAAACAAGCTAAAAACACGCCAGGGTTTTATATATTGTCAAATATAAACTAGTTTAATCTTGTTATTCAGTAAAAAGCTTCAGAATGAAAGTAGGGTATAATCATGAAAATGACAGAAGAAAGTCAAGTCCTATAAGTTTTTCACTAGTATAAAATTCAAATAATGTTGACTTCCTTTTACTAAAAATAAATCTTTCACTAATTCTTTTTTTCAGGAATGAAATATCCGATTGTTATAAAGAATACAAAGGTAAAGATTTTTAAGCACAGCTTCTGTCTGCTTTCATCCTCTCCTCTTTCTTGAAAAGTTGAATTAACCTGCAATGCTATATTTTAAGTTATTGGAAGAAATTTGTCTAATGTAAAAGTAATTCTGAGAGAAATTCTTTTAGAGCACTGTTAGAGCATTCTTTAACAGCCTTTACTCCAAAAAGGGTTTCAACTTGGGAATGTCTTCATAAAGTAGCTGTGCTAGAAAACAATAGGATTATAAGCACTTGGAGTATTTGATTTTAAATACTCCAAGTATTGATTTAAATATTGTATTGTAAAACTGATACTTATTTTATCGCTCTGCCTACTGATCTCTGTTAGCTTTTTAACTTGGTTTTTTTTTTTGAGTTGGAATCTTGTTCTGTCACCCAGGCTGGAGTGCAGTGGCACACTCACAGCTACCGCAGCCTCAACCTACTGGGATCAGGTGATCCTTCTGCCTCAGCCTTCCAAGTAACTGGAACTACAGATGCACACCACCACGCCCAGCTAACTTTTTGCTTTATTATAGAGACAAGGTCTTGCCAAGTTACCCAGGCTGGTCTCAAACCCATGGGCTCAGGCAATCCTTTTGCCTCCACCTCCTGAAGTGCTGGGATTACAGGCATGAGCCACCGCACCCAGCTATTTGCTTTTTGAGTTGGGGTCTCACTCTGTCACCCAGGCAGGAGTGCAGTGGCATGAACACGGCTCACCACAGCCTCAACTTCCTGAGTCAGGCAACCCTTCCACCTCAGCCCCCTGAGTAGCTGGAACTACAGGTGTGTGCCACCATGCCTGAGTTAGTTTTTTATTTCTTGTAGACATGGGGTTGCCTAGGCTAGTCTTGAACTCCTGGGCTCAAGTAATTCTTCTGCCTCAACTTCCCAAAGTGCTGGGATTAGAGGTGTGAACCACTTCTCCCAGCCAACTGTCTGTTGATTAGAAGACTGTGGTAGGGGGGAAGCATGCAGGTTGTGCCACAGGGAGATGGACTGCTTTCCTTCGCCTTCACATAGACCTAAAGCAAGAACCATTAAGCGTCACAGAAGCATTAGATTCCCTGTATGCTTATGATATCAGCAAGGTTTACTCAAGAGAGCATACTCATTAATTAGTGCTGTGAGATTTATTATAGAGTTTGGGACTTGCACAGTTGTGGAAATTTCTGGGGAAGCAGGAGTTTATAGGCAGTTGGTGGTCAGTAGTTGGGAAACAGAGCAGGATATGGAGCTAGAATTCACTGGGCAGTGGGTGTCTGTCACCACATTGGACTCAAATGACCTTCAGAGACTAATGACTGTGGCTTTACTTCTCCTGCCAAGTCATAAGCAGTTCCTGTTTCAGTCAACTTTGAGTTAGAACCATGCAGAGAAGGGGATTCTATCTAGCACAGTTCCCAGATTAATCAAACTGATACAGTATAAACCCCTGCAGTCTACCCTGTGACAACTTGACATGTATCCACAGCCCTTATAACCTTATAACCACATTTAGCTTCCAAATACAGTAGTAAAATTATACTTCCACCAAACAAGATGTAAGTGTCCCTTATACAACGAAAGACATGCTAACTCACTATCCAAAAAGATACAAAGTCCACTCTTTCCATCTTGGGTGATGTTTGTTCTTTGCTTGCTGAGTCACACTCACCCTTTGAGACCCTGTAACTTAAATACTGAGATATAAGGTTAATCACTACGTAAACAGATTAGATTAGTAGTTATCAACTGGAGGTGATTTTGCTCCCCAGGGGACATTTGGCAATGTGTGGAGACATTTTTGGTTGTTGCAACTGTAATGGGGGGCAGTGTTAGTGGCATTTAGTTGTAGAGGACAGGGATTCTGCTAAACATCATTCTCCAGTGTGGTGAACAGCACCCCAAAATAATGAATTGTCTAGCTCCAAATGTTAATAGTACTGAGGTTGAAAAACCCTGTGCTAGATAGCAGGAATGGTAGAGATTAGTGTATTAATCTTGTCTGGATGCCATAACAAAATACCACAGACTGGATGTCCTAAACAATTCATAGTTCTGGAGGCTAGAAGCCCAAGATCAAGGTGCTATTGGGCTTGGTTTCTGCTGAAGCCTTTCTTTCTGGCTTGTAAATGACTGCCTTCTTACTGCATCCTCACATGACTGCTTGTATGTGTGTGCTTAGAGAGAGAGTGATCTTGGGTATTTCTTCCTCTTGTAAGGACACCAGCCCTAGTAGATTAGGCTCTACCCTTATGACATAATTCAACCTTTTTTTTTTTTTGAGTCATAGTGTCAGGCTGGAGTGCAGAGGCATGCTCACAGCCACTGCAGCCTCGACTTGCACAGCCTCGACTTGCAGGGCTCAGCTAATCCTTCCATCTCAGCCTTTCAAGTAGCTGGAACTATAGGCGTGTGCCACCATGCCTGGCTTTTTTTCTTTCTTATTGTAGAGATGAGATCTTGTCACATTCCCAGGCGGGTCTTGAACCCCTTGACTCAGGTGATCCTCTTGCCTCCACCTCCCAAAGTGCTGGGATTACAGGTGTGAGCCACTGGGCCCAACCTAGTTTCACCTTAATTACCTCCCTAAGGGTCCTGTCTCCAAATACAGTCACATTGGGTGTTAGGGCTTCAACATATGAATTGGGGTGGAAGACACCATTCAGTCTATTCAAAAGGAGATAAGGAAAGAACTGGGTAAAATATAGACATATATTTATTTCAAAGTAAGGAAGAAATACTCATAACTATAATATCCCTCGTTTCTTTTTTGAGTTGGAATCTCACTCTGTCGCCCAGACTGGAGTGCAGTGAGTACAGTGACCGCTCCCGGCCACCACAGCCTCAACCTGTTAGGCTCCGGCGATCCTTCCGCCTCAGCCTTCCGAGTAGCCAAAATTACAGGCATGCGTTCCCACACCCGGGTGATTTTTTGATTTATTGTAGAGATGAGGTCTTGCCAAGCTGCACAGGCGGGTCTCGAACCCGCGAGCTCAGGCAATCCACTCACCTCAGCCTCCCAAAGCGCAGGATTACAGGCTGAGCCACCAAGCCTGGCTATCCCTCATTTCTATAACTGGTTATGTGGCCATAATTGATATTTATAATTTCCAACCTCTACTTTCCATTCCATATTCTCTTTGCCTTTAGTGAGCATCTCAGCTGGTAATGGTTTCTAGTTTGGTGGGGTAGCTCAAACTTTCATTCCTGAAGCGTGTGACATTAGCAACCCTACCTGTTTGGGTGGTAGTCATTTCCAGTAACTTTTATAACAATGCACAGGTCTACTAAGGGGTGCCTAGGGGCTACGTATAACAGACAGATTCTTTTGTATCATCCCTAAGCCTTCTGTGGTAGTAGCTCTATTTCCTTGAGGGTCAGGATCAGCTCCTCAGTTCAGCACAGCAGTCTCCTTTCGATTCACTGGCATGGGAGCCCAGAGTAGCCAGTGTGTGGCAGTGTGCCAGTGTCAACTTCAAGTCTAATGGAAACATTGCTTATTCTCCAATAGAAATATTTCTCCTTTGGGAACTAAGAACTTGAGATTATTAGAGATCAAAGTTGTGGAGATAGAAAGCAAACATTTGACCCAGTTAGTCTGGAGGCTTTCATTGCGGAGGAACTATCTGCAGAGAACCTGCAAAGATGCTGTCCGTGTGCATCACTGCAACTGTGGCCTGTGCCCTCCCTCAGCAGGCTGAACTGGTCTCCAGAAATACTTTGGTTCATCTTTCATTGCCACAAGGAACTTCCCTGTCTCTAAACTTGTCTTCAGAAGACTGGCACTGCTGAAATGTCCGTATTCTTGAAGAGCATATTCTTGGAGCTGGTACGTCTGTTGACTTTGAAGAGACTGGGCGTGTCTTAACTATGGGTGATGGTATTGCCTGAGTAAGTGGGCTGAGGAATGTTCAAGCAGAAGAAATGGTCATTTTTCTTTCATATATATGTCTCTGAACATGGTACCTGATAATGGTGGTATTGTCATGTTTAGACATTATAAACAATTAAGGAAGGAGATATTTGAAGAGGACAGGAGCCATTGTGGACATTCCAGTTGGCAAGGAACTGTTGGGTCGTGTTGTAGATGTCTTTGGTAATGCCACTGACAGAAAGGGTTCAGTTGGTTCCCAGACCCATAGGGGAGTTACCTAAAAGCCCCTGGAATTACTCCTCAAATCTCAGTATGGGAACCATTGCAGACTGGCATTAAGGCTCTGGTTAGCTTGGTTCCAGTTGGTTGTGGTCAGTATGAGCTGATTATTGATGACAGACAAACTGGGAAAACTTCAATTGCTATTGATACAATTGTTAACCAGAAATGTTTAAATGATGGATCTGATTAAAAAAAAAAAAAAGCTATACTGTACCTGTGTTACCATTGGTCAAGAGAGAGCCACTGTTGCCCAGTTCATAAAGAGACTTACAGATGCAAGTGCCATGAAGTACACCATTGTGATGATCAGGTATGATTTCCAATGCTTCCTCGTTTCAGTACTTGGCTTTTTATTCTGGCTGTTCCCTGGAAGAGTATTTTTGAGATAATGGCAAATATGCTTTGATCATCTATGATGACTTATCCAAACAGGCTGTTGCATACTGTCAGATGTCTCTATTGCTCCGCCGACCCCCTGGGCATGAGGCCTGTCTTGGTGACATGTTCTACCTACACTCCCATTTGCTGGAGAAAGCAGCCATAGTGAGTGGTGCTGTTGGTGGTGATTCCTTGGCTGCCTTACCAGTCATAGAAACAGACTGGTGATGTGTCTGCTTACATTCCAACAAATGTCATTTCTGTCACTGTCAGACATCTTGGAAACAGAATTGTTCTACAAAGGTATCTGCTTGGCTATCAACATTGGTTTTTCTGTGTCCCATGTTGGATATGCTGCCCAAACCAGGGATATGAAGCAGGTAGTATACACCCTGAAGTTGGTATTGGCTCATTATCGTTGCTGCTTTTGCCCAGTTCAGTTCTGACTTCGATGCTGCCACTCAACAACCCTTGAGTTGTGGT